CAACAAATCATTTCCTTATAAATGCAATTTTACGTGATTTTTCAATAAGTTTAAATAATACATTGAGATTTTCTTTCAAATTATATATAAATAGAAAACGGTACAGTTTCAAAATTTTTGTGGGTATTTTTTATGCTATAACAAATGCACGTTTCAATAATGGCTATCAAAAAATCTGTATGAAATGAACGTCCTGCAGTGACGTTCACTATCATGTAATGATGTCATACTACCCTAGTGAAGATGACAGCACACTGTCTTGTACTGGCCAGCCTGTCAGCACGTCGTGCCATGGCTTTGATCTAAGCTATTCTTATCTACATAATAAATTGTTAATAATTATTAATTTATATAATATTACAATTATTATTATAGCCACACTCAATTACCGAATATCATAGTTTAAATAATAACTGCACCCCTGCGATACATTTCAAAGGATTATTCAAAATGTCGTTTTATACAAGGTATTTCTCTCGGTGTTTTCATTTACATATTGTCTGTCACAGAATGTTCTAAAAGTAGAACTGCCTACTGTCTACTGGTTTAATTTATCCATTACTGACGGTGATACGGGCGTTTAGAGTTTCAGCTGTTTTTCATCCCAAAAATTTCAAATTTTTGGTAATGCCATGGCTTTGTAGTTAATTGTAAGAATATAAACATAGTGGACGGTCTGAATGTTTGCTCTAATTCTCAAAACAGTTTTCTCAAAGTATTTTTTTCAAATTTTGTTTTCTAGGCCCTCGATAAGCTTAATAATAATTTTTTTTTCAACTAAATATACCTTCGAGGCAGTCGACTGTATCATTCCCAACGACTTTAAAGTCATAGCAGTAATGTAGTTTCGAAATATTTAGCTTAAAAAAAAGTCAAAAGTTAAAACAGAAAACAGCATCTGACAGAAGAGTTGCAACTGGAAGTTGCCACTGGAAAAAAAAGGAGTTATAACTATCAGTTGTAGCTTTTATTTGCAACTTTTAATTAAAGATTTTGGTTTTTTTTTAGGTAAATATTTTTAAATTAAATTAATGCTGTGGCTTTCAAGTCGTTGATAGTGATACAGTGCCTAGAAGGTAACTTTAGTTGTAAATAAATTCACTTGAAATGGGTTGAAAACTTTCAAAATCAAAGTTGAAAAAGTCAAAGAAATTGACGAATTAAACAAAATGCAAGGATAAACAGTTGAAAATAAAAAAAA